AGGACACTTCATGCATTTCAGAAGCATCACAATTCAAAAAGTAGCTGCTGCCACAATGCTATTTCAATACCGCTTGCTTTCACTCAGCTTTCTTTCTAAAGCCTACGGCTCTAGCCTTAGATCACAAAGGCTGATTTTTCCATAAAAGGTGAAGGGCTGTAACATATTTACATCCTATCTTACATCCTGATCCATCACCATAAAAATGATCGCTCTTTCTTCACTACAACTGCTAGACGAATGAGCATATTTCAGACAACTCTGAGACTCTGACTTGCACTGAGAGTAGCTTGTGAAACAGTACTGTTCAGCAATTAGGAGAACATTCTTACGTTAAATCATTTGGAAATAAATAGTCAGTGTTTATGCATCTGTCCTGGAAGTAATCGTACTCACAGTGAACTGAATTAATTTAAAAAAAAAAAAAATTAATAGGGAAAAGTAAAATACACTGTCAACAATGGTAAATGCCATCAAAACTATAAATTTGCATGAGTGTTTTATGTATCCAGTTATGGTACCTAAGCACCTGGTTACAGTAAAGTTTTGAAGTTAACATAGTTTGTCAGCAGGGTGTGATATAGTGAATGCATGCCACAGAAATATTTTTCTGAATGTATATATGCTGCATTAAAAATACAGTATTTTATATTTTGGAACATGGACTCTTTAATAAAGGTGCCTTGAAGTTTTCATGGTAGTCTACAAGTTTCTGTTTAGGTGAAATATCTTTTTAGCAGCTTTGTAATAGTTCAGTTCATACTCGTGACTTAGGAGGTTCTGGCAAGAGCCAGAGTGCATTCTATGTTTGAGATGCATGCTTTCCTCTCTCTTCTCTAGAGAAGGCAGCTCTTTAATCTTAGGAGCTAATGGAAGTGAGATGAAGATCTTGCATTTTTAGCAAAATTTAAATATTGCTGATAATTTCGTTTCAGAAGTCTTTAAAAGGAACACAGAAGAAAGGCAGTAAATAATTCGTTGTTCATAAAGTTCTATTGTCAAAGGCAGAAAATAAGTGGCCTGTATGCAATCTTCTGACACAGTGGATCAGGACCTGGCTTTAGGCAAAGTAAAATTATATTTCATCACTACCAGTTTTGTCCTTTATTTTTGTTGTTGTTTATACAGAAATACAAATGTAAACTTGAGCAGCAGTTTGCCCAGATCAAGGAAGAAAGTACAGCTCAGCTGCTGACAATTCAGCGTTGGGAAGATTGGTGGAAACGATCCATCCAGAAGATTAAGCAACTCTATACATGACATCAGTCAAATCTTGCTGATGTCCTTCTGATCATTGTTGGTGTAAACTGACAAGTTTGTACTAATGTCGGTGATGTTATAGATTTAGTCCAACAGAATTTTCTATTTTTTTCTTTAATTTCTGTTGTACTGAAGAAGTGCAATGGTGCAATTGCCTCTTGAAATAAAAAAATCTGATAAATGTGCTGTAACTGAAGCGTAGACTCTGTACAGTGCTTCCTAATTGGATCTCAGCCAGAGTAAAGTTAACTCGTTATGGTGCTAGCTGTAATATGAGAATCTGAAAAGCTAGAAGCCCAAGCAGTGAATTTGTACTGAAGTTCATGTTCAAGACTCAGGCATGATTGAATATGTCTGTGTCACGGCACAGTCTGAAGCTGTAATAGTTAAAGGCAGCCTGTTTAATAATGGAGTACAGCAAGGAAACTTTCTTTGGCACAGGTGAAGCCCTTCCCATGGATATCCTCTCTTTATTCACATTCTTAACAGCACTGTACTCACAGCTCACTACTTCAGTTTTAGAAATCTGAAACATAGGTTTAGAAATCTGAAATAGTTGATCTGCAAAGAATATTTTCCACAGAATGGTCTACAAGTGAGGCATTTATCTGCAATGCAGAATGCTTTCCGAGGCCGGGCTTGAACATAAAGTACTTCTTTGTTCTGGGAGGTCAAGCAAGTTCATTTAGGAGTAATATAGCTACTTTCAACCATATCACTTTTAAAAAAAACTCTCTGAACAAATTCGAGGAACCTGAGTAACTGTTAAAAATGCTTTAGCCGTTTTTCTGTTTGTTAGGAGATTCTGTCACTAACTGCAACCACATCTATTTCATTTTCGTTTGTATTCATTGTGAACCCTAGAGCTGTAAATCAGTTGAGGACAAATACGGTAAGTGTCAATGAGATGGTTTTAGATGCAAGGAGACGTTCTGAACTCATATGGCTCCAGTGTTCTTGCAGATTTGTAACAGAGAAATTGAAGCAAAGGGGGAATGCATCAGCTGTGCTCCTAATGATGCAATATTTCAATATGTGTATTATTTTTCCTGAGGGATTAGATGTTTACTCTGTAAAGACACATGGAAGTACACTATGCCTATTATAATAGCTGAAACTGCACAAAAATATCCAGAACGCCCATGTCTTTTTTTATTCTGTGTTAATTTTACTATTCAATTTGAGGATAATTTTTATTCTTCTTTCTTCTGTCTGTCCATTATCCTCTGTCCTTCCCCATCAACCGAGTTCTATGCTATCGCTCTCTGTACGCCATGGCAATAAGTGCATGAGGATGGTCAGGTGCAGGAAATGAGAATCCCCAGGAGACTATCTGCAAAGTGGTACTGTCTTACGTTTTCATGTATGCTTTGGGGGAAAATTTTGAGAGGATGTTTATGAAATTGGGAAGTGGTATCAAGCTGGGAGGGGCTGCAAGCACCACGGAAAACAGAATTCAATCAAGGCTTGATGTTTTAGAAAAACAAATAGCCTGAAAATGGAGTTTAATTCCATAAAGTCAAGTACAAGGCTTTATATGTCATAGACCTGGCTAGGAGAGGTTCTGTAGAAAGCCTGTGTGGATTACATTTGGCCACAGGCTGAATGTCATCACCAGTGCTGTGTTCTTGCAAGTAGGCAAGTGTCATATAGGAATGTATGAACTGTCACAGCATCTCGGTTTTGTGGGGTAATCCTGCTTTACTTAATACTGGTGAGGGCTCAGCAGGAGTATTTGGTTTGGTTTGGCACCAGATTTCGTGAGAATGGACTGATTAGAGAGAGACCAAACAGAACTGACGGAAATAATCACAGGTCTTGAAGTTAACAATCTACAAAGACCGAAGGAGTTGTCGTGGTTGAGCTCACAGAATAGAAGAGGGAAGGAAACCTCATAGACTTTAGATATGTAAAGGGAGTCTCCAGGTGCATGATCACTGTCATAAAAAGGCACAGACCTAACCTGCAGCAAGTGAGATCCTAGTTGGAAATTAGGAAGCCTCCTGATGAGAAGGGCAGTAAAGCACTGGCACAGGTTGGCCACCCACCCTATGTCTAACCAGCTCTTGAAGAATCATTGAAAAGCAACCATTTGAAACCCCCTCTGCACACTTGTCCATTTTGCATGTGCCAGAGGCATCAAGCACAAGATCAGATACATGGCACTGAAAAATCCTGGCATCGGTGTGGCAGCTTTCATTACAGAATTAGCATAGGAATTAGATAAAACTGGTCAAAGCATAGAATAACAGCTAGAGGGGAAAGGCTGGTTGCAAATCCTTCTACATTTGTGGATCTGCAGCATTTTTAGGCAAGAATCCAGAACTGCTCAGCATGAATCCATGAAGGCTTTAAATGGTGGAATGGCTTGAGATTTTTCTCTTTTTTTTTTAAAGTGGGATTTTGTGATGCTTCTTGGTGAAAGCCAATTAGATTGGTTGACAGGAGAGTGAGGAAGATGCACCAGAGCAGATTTCTGTATGGCATAATAAAGCAAATTAAAGACCTTTTTGCTACCTGTCTTTTTATAACCAAAGAAATTAAAGGGGGAAAATGACTTTTCAGATCCATTGACACTATTGTATGCCTTACCAAGGGCCAGGACAGAAAAGATCTCTGTGATGCTTACTTTAGCCTCCCCCAAAGAGGTGCCTTGTACCGGTTCCTCCTACTAACATCATGACTGTCTATAAATAGGAGTTTGACGAACAGCCTTTTTTTTTTTTTTTTTTTTTTTTTTATCCCAAGCTTCAGTCACATGCTAGAAAGTGCTTTCCTCTAACTCGAGACTGCATTACAGTCCCTACAGCAGCAGCCTGGAAAGCTTGCTTTGCAGAAGAGCAGTTTATGTGGACACAGAGGATGCCGAGGAGGCGGAAGTGAGCTTGCACATACAAGAGACTTATCTGCAGTACCGTAGTTCTGTATTCACTAAAGGTAATAATTAATGTAGCCTCTAACAATTGACGTGCTTGTAACAAGCCCCTTTGGAGGCCACATGCAAAGGCTTTGTGTGTTTGTCACCAGGCCCATGGTTCACGCTGTGGGAACCTTTACTTCCCTGTGAGCAGAAAAGGGATCAATTTGAGCTTTTAAGGTAAGACAGCTGAGCTAGGGGAAGTTGATTTTTATGGCTGTTGAAAAGGGAGTAATTTCTTTGACTTACAGAGAAATATCGTTACCCAATATGCATTATTATTGTCATGTAATGTTTCTTTGCTTGTATCGGACCTTAGTTTACCTCTCTCCTACATGCACCTTTAGAGGGAGCTGTCTCTGGCAGTTACTCTTCTGTGAAAGATGGAGTTTATCAGCTAAAATGGTAACTGTATTAGTTCTGCGTATCACCTGATATGATTGGTTTCAGTGAGTTTATTAAATTGCAAAGCGTGTGTGCTTTAGCTGAATAAATGGAATCTACAGAAACTAGAATCAAATCAGAAAGGCTCCCCACGCACTTGTAACTGTGATTAGATCTCACTGAAATGGAGAGGTTTCTCAAATGGTTTACAGGAACTGCCTCAGTGACTAAGTGGCCTGGCTCTTCCTACCGTGTTCCTGATTTCAGAAAGACTGAATTAAATTGAAACTGCTTGGAGAACCTCATGCTTCTATAATAAAATAATCCATTTCTCTCATAGTGAGATATTTATAGCCAATTTCCCTTGCTTTTTTGTTCTTTGCAGATTGAAAGCTGCTGGGAGTAAGAAGTTGCCCTTCTTTCTTCTACTCTAGAAGACATGATTTCCAGGAAAGTGTTGGGATTTCTTGTCTGTCTGTTTGTTGTTACCGCGTTTATCTGGTAAGCATTTGCTGGCAAGCTTGGTCATATTTAAAACATCCTGTCTATATCTACACTGTGGTATAAAGCATAGTAGCAGAAAAATATAGGCAGTGCATTTTATGGAAAGTCCCTGTTAGAGCTGTAAGAAAGAACAGTGATTTGTACAATAAAGTAACACTAGTAGAGGGAGAAGCCTCCGAAGGGAGAGAGAAAAAAAGACCAATTGTGTCTAAATTAGGCTGCTAACACCGTATCTGACTCACAAACAAATGTTCAAGTACAGAATATTCCAATTACATTTTAGTTCAGGCCTTAAAAGAGATGATTATCTGTCTCTTCAAACAGTCCAAACTCACTCCAATGTAACTAGGGATAGCTTTGTAGCTATCAAACATTGTTGCTTTCAAACATTGAGAATGTTTGCAGCTTTGAGTATGCCTTACAGATTCTCTTGAGCAAACTCAAACATTGTTTGAAAGGAATCTGAGATCAGGAATTTCTATTAACTATTAAATTATTAATTATTAAATTATTCTTAATTATACTGTATTTCTGATGTTGCAATTTGCTCTTATTTCACATTGTGGGTGGTTGCATTTCACCAGCAGTTAAGTGATTGTATATAAAAATCTATATAGATTGTGATCAAAACTGAAGGGAGAAAAAAGCCTATGCAGCCTATTTGTCTGCTACGCAAATTAAAGGGGACACACACACAGCATTTAAAGTTCCATGAAGTGTCACATCAGTGTATATTGCATATTTATCCACTTTGAGCATTGCCTTGTGTCTCCATTTGTGTACGCTTGTCAAAAACGTGTAGACCTACATTTTATAGACCACTTGATGTAAATAAAAATACTTAGACCTGGATGTTATAAGCTTCTGGACTCATTTTGTCCTGAGCATCCCCTTTATGCCTCAGCAGCAGTATATTACATTAAAATGTGACCTGGATCCTACACTAATTAGTAAAGTAGACAAGCAGTTAGCTGGAGTTACTTCTCAAAATCTGTGCCAGATTCTGAGAAGATCTTGGAAATCCTAGGAAGATATCTTTCAACATTACCTATCTTTAAATGTTTCTTGGCTATCCCAGGATTATAGTGGGGAATGGAAAAGTGCACTACCTCCCATTTTACCTTCCTTGCCCGGAAATCTCGTAAGTATCCCATTTTGTATGTAATTAATAACACAGATCATCACAGCTGTACTTCACTGACAGTGTAAGTAGTTATTAACACGTAGTCACTTGTTCTTTATTTTATGAATATATAATTAGTCACTCTCTTAAAACAAAATGGTAATAATGCAACCTTTTCTGCTTTTGTCTGGTTGCCCTTCAGGACGGCTCTGTATTTGTACAGCATAAGCGAGACCTTGTTTGTTGTGGGTCACAGAGACCATGACTAACAGGTTAACATTGGCTTTATTATCAGGGTGTAATCACACACGTGCACATGTACACACAGGATCTCACTGTGCTTTGAGATGTGGATTAAGTATCCCAGCTCGCTAGATGGAGAAACATAAGTCAGAGAGGTGAAATGAACAATCGCATAAGGAGTTCTGGCAGAGTTAGGAATACCCCCCAGTCTCTTAATCATGTTCCTCCTCTTCACTCTACAATCTGTGCTTTCCACTCACTTTATGAATGTATTTCTGTTATGGCACCACTTGAGTCGTGGACCAGAAGCCTGGTCTCAGCAAAATAAAAGGGTAGCTGCTTCTCCAGAAACCTTACAGTTTAAGGGGCCAGCTTCATTGTGTGATGCAAACTAATGTACAGTTAACTGACTTAGCATGGGTCCTAAAAGCTAGCTCAAAGCTGCATAAAAGAGAATTTACACTGTAGAGGAGCAGGATACATGGCTTAAGTGACTTCACTGCCATAGCGGACCATAGCTGTAACATGACAAGCCACGGCTTTTCCCATCCTTTGTCATGACCTACTGATTTTGTAAAAACAAAACAAAAAAATGCAAATAGAAAAGGTGATCTCTTATAGAGACCTTTCTGATTATTTCAAGCCATTAAAAAAACATTGTGTCTAATAAGATGCTTATTTCTCTGAATGCTCTTTAAAGTGTGATATATTTCAGGTCATTCAGCCCTCCAGGTGAACAGGAACACTTATGTGGGGAATGGAGCATGCACATGACCAGTACTGGCAGTCCCCAACAAGCATGTGCTTCCCTAGATTTTGACCCCTAAACTTGATTTACCCACAGGCTCGGAGAGCTGCCAGCATCTCTCTGTCCTTGTTCTGCTGTGTGCTCTTTTTCAAAACTGTTACTCATCTGGCAGCCCTTGAAGGCGCGTACAGGCAGTGTCTAACTCTCTGTACCAGGCAGAGCAGTGTGTGCAGCAACTGGCGAGAGGACTTGGACAGCTGTCAATACAGCAGCAGGTCCTGAAGCTGAACCTGGTTCTTGTTTTAGGAAAAGCATTACAATCCCTTTCTTTCCCCACCCCATCATACAGCTCCATGAAACTCCAATATACAGAAGAGAAGCTAATCCAGCTTTTCCCCCAGTAAGTACTGGCTTTTTATTTCCTGACCTTCAAACTGCTGTTCCTTTCTTCCAGGCATATTCATGTATTATTCAGTGGATATTTCTTCCTTTTTACAGATTATTTTATCAGCAGCCAAGAGTGCTGGCTCCAAAGTAAGTTTCTTTGTTTGAAGTTTGTTGTTTGTTTCTGCTGACTTTGGTTTGGGTGCTCTGTGGCACTCACAGTTTCAAAGTCCTGGTACACACTGAACAGTACCTTGTTCCAAGAGAAGTCTAACCATATGGGTATATCTACAGCTGTCTATGCTGCTATAAGATTGAGTTTAGTCACTGTATACTTGCTAACATACCTACTGTAAACTCCCAATTAATATATTAGCACACACACACAGCCTGTCTACATGATTGCTGCCAGGAACTCCTTCTGAGATAGGAGATACATAATAGCTGGAAGACAGTGAGAAATACCTTCTGGAACTGTGCTGTAGCTGTAAGCAGCTGTGGGAGAGCTTTGAATCCATTTCAGGACAAAATGAAGCAAGTGCCTTGTATGACCTTCAGCAATGGTTTCAGCTAACCTGCTGGATTTTACACTGGAACAAATTGCAGGCACTCACACAGACAAGTCTCTATGAGAAGCAGTCAAACCAGCGAGTTTAAACAGACATAGAAGGTTTCAGGCAGCAGCAGCTAAGAAGTGACTTGCGCAAATGCTCCTTGTCAGCTCATGTTTGTTAGCAGTCTCCTTCAGTCCAGCTCCTATGACCTGACTCTTATCTCTAGCAGTTTGCCTTCAAGAGCCACCATTCTTTTGCATGTTAATAAACACACCCACTTGGTACATATCTTTTTTTCTTCCCCTCCGCCCCCTCCCCCCCCATTTCAGTAGGACATGCTAGGACTGAATATTTCTCTCTTCCGTATTGGAATAAATTAATGTACGAAATCAGCTAGTATATACTGGACTAAATGAGGAGAGAATCATGTAGCTTTTAGTGCTCTGTGTCTTCTGAAGGGAGTTCACTAGCACGCACTGAGAGGATGCATACCATGGAAATGAGTCATTGGGAAACCCAGTGCAGCCCTTTAAAATTGAAACGAAAAAAAGCCCTGCTTAGAGAAACAAACTTGTAGATTTCCTTCTCTCTCTCTCTCTCCCCCCTCTCCTCCAAGAAAGGATAATTAAGCCAGAAAGAGAACAGCTTGGTTAGTCCGTTTTCTACAAACCAAATTCTTTTTCCTGTATAATTTAATCTTTTAATCATATGCATTACTATAGGAAGGAGTGAAATTGTTATTCTCGTATCCACTCAGACTGAGAGTACTAGATCTGGGTTGAAAGTGTACTGCTGCCTCAGCCATCAAACTGCTCCCCACAGGTCCCTTTGTTTGGTTTTTGTGCGATTATTGCCTTGGGAGCGTGTCAGATGGGAGACTGCTTCAGCCTCCAAGTGTGGCCCTGTGCCGTGCATGACAAATTTCATTAGCAGAGTGCTACAGATCATGGTCTGGGGCGAATGTGAGTGGGCTAGGGTAAATTACACATCATAAATGACATCTTGTTTTAAAATCAAAAAGGTAAGAAAGAAGAAAGTTGAAATAGCATTGCATAGCTGTAATAGGGCATAATCAGACTCTGCTGCATGTATATTCAATATTTCCACTACCCACACAAGAGATTAAGGATTTTCTATAACTTTGTTACACATTTGAATGATGGCTCACATACAGAATTTTAAATTATATCTGAATGTGTTAAAGCTATATATAAATACTGGAAAAATAAACTCTCATGCTGCAAGCTATGTTTTAATAACACAGCAGTAGGGTATATTTTTATAATAATTTTCATATTGTTACTTGTGTTTTAATCTTATGTAGCAATCTGCATCAGACTGATAGCAAATATGCATAGCTTCTCATTCTGTAAGTTCAGTGGTCATTAAACTCTCCTCAGCAGAAAAGTCCTATGAGCTTAAATGAGATTTTAGTAAATCCTCGAGTTTTTGCCAATTTGCTAAACAGTGCTTAGTTTCATCCCAGGAACTGAAATGTCCATGCTTGGTAACCTTAAATAAGAGGGCAGGGAAAAAGATCTGAATATAATACCATCCATAATGAGTTAATGCTGATATACACACTCTTCTTCTAGCTGCCTTTTTAGTGTTTCTTTCCCATTTACTGGCCTTGAAACCAAAAGGGACAGTTACATTTCATTAACATTCCCTTTTCTTTTCCTTCAGGCGTCAGGATGTGCTGACAGTCACACCATGGCTAGCCCCCATCATCTGGGAAGGAACCTTCAATTCTGAGATCCTAGACAGTGCCTACAGGCCACTGAATCTCACCATAGGGGTGACAGCCTTTGCCGTTGGAAAGTAAGTGAACGACTCGGTGGGCACAGTTCTTGGGTTGATGTACTTCCTCTGTGGAAACATCATTTTGGCTTTTCTTGTCCTGAGCAGAGCTGAAATCTGTCCCAATCTGTAGTAAACTTTTATGCCCATGTATTGTGTCTGTAATCATACAAGCCTACAAGATAACAGACTCAGCACCCAGGGTACCTAAAGCATGGTCAGTATTTTTGAAGAACTAGCATGTGCCTTGGGAATTAGAACTGTAGATAGGTGGCTGGTTGATCAAAGCAGGGATAATCCACTTGTTCCTTGTCCTCCACTATACCTATTGCATGTGTAGTGTATGCATCCTTGCGGCAACAGCTAGTCAACACTCTTCATCCCTTGTCTTCTTCCATTCATCAAAGTACCCTTCATAATCCACCATGCATCCCCTTGTCTCTGCTGTGCTATTCATGTGTTGTGTCTGCACAGATACACAAGGTTTGTGGGCCGCTTCTTGGAGTCAGCAGAGAAACATTTCATGAAAGGCTATCGGGTGAACTATTATATCTTCACTGACAACCCTGAGACAATTCCCAATGTCCAGCTGCAATCTGGACGAAGGTTTGTCATTGTCCCCATGAAGAACTACCCCAGCTGGCAAAAGATCTCCATGCACAGGATGGAGGCCATAAACAAGCACATAGCAGAGACAAGCCATCAGGAGGTAGACTACCTCTTCTGCCTGGACATTGACATGGCGTTCTACAATGCCTGGGGGTCTGAGACCCTGGGTGATACAGTAGCAGCCATACACCCTGGCTACTTCAATGTCCCTCGAAGCCAGTTCCCTTATGAGAGGAAGAGCTCTTCAGCAGCCTACATCCCTGATGGAGAAGGGGACTTCTACTACGGAGGAGCTGTGTTTGGAGGGCTTGTCAAGAAAGTCTATGAGTTCACCAAGGCTTGCCACATGACCATCCTGACGGACAAAGCCAATGGGATCATGGCAGCCTGGCGGGAAGAAAGTCATCTCAACAGGCACTTCCTCTCCCACAAACCCTCCAAGGTGCTTTCTCCAGAGTACTTATGGGATGACAGGAAGCCAAAGCCCCCTGAAATTCACCTCATACGTTTTTCCACAGTGGATAAGAACTACAAAGAGATACGAGATTGACCATCTGATCCCTGCAGAGATGTCCTCCACACAATCAAACCCACTGAATATTAGCTCCCACAGAACATGCCCCACCATGAATTTTTGTTCCCAGTGTGAACAAACTGAGGAAGGAACACGTGGATAGTTTCTCTGGAGAACAGGAGTCTTAATGCATTTCAGAAGCAGCAGCCAAAGTGGAGGTGAGAATGAAAAGGTTTCTAGGTTCCTAATCTTTGTAAATACAAGCATCCCACTTGAGGCTGCAGCACACAAAAAGGCATTCAAAAGGCCAGTTATCAAATGCAAGGCTGTCCTTATAGCAAGGCTGCAAGTGCCTTTGCCTGAGTGTTTTCCTGAGGCCCAGCAGAAACTTAGCAAGATCAAAATAGTATTTGACATTCCTGTGGAGAAGGAGAAGACTTAGAGTTTTAGTAAAGACATTTTCACTTAAAAAAAAGAATTTTGCACGGCAATAAATTTTCATACATTGTGATTTAAACTTGTACCCTTTGTCAGGGTCAGTGAGAAACTTTCGCTCGGAGCAAGTTATCCCAGATTAGTGTGCAGCAGGATTTCTTGGACCTTCTCAGCAGAGAGCTGGTGCCAGCCATTGCCAGTAAGAACCCTGGTCTGACAGGACAAATAGTGTGAATTCATATAGCAGTTATCTTCCAAATTCCAAATCTGTGTTTTGGAGGCCTGAGTTTAGACAGAACTGGCACAGCTCAGACCCAGACTGAACTTCTTTTTTATTTCAATCACAGATGTGCTCTGAACATTTTCCCTGGTTCACATGTCTCTGTAGATCATGTAATCTTTTCCAACACAGAAAATCTGGTATTGAAAGGTTCATGTTCTTATCCGTTGCTTCAGTCCTTTCCAACTTTTCTAAGGTCTGTGAAATAAATTGGCTAGAATCTGCTGGAACTGACAGTAAGAGCTGATGCATTTCCAGCAAACAGGGTGATTTCATTTTATAATGAAATGCTCTAGTGAAACTGTGAGTTCAGTCTAGAGCTGGAAGTAGGCTGGGGTTAATGTTTTCTTTGCGTGAATGTGATGAGAAGCTGAACCAGGTGTTTTGCAGCCTTTAAAGCCTGACAGCTCACTTGGGCGAACAGGCCGGGGGGGTCCAAACACAGGGGAACAGCCACGGCTTGCCAAAGACAACTGCATAATTGTCAACTGAGGTCACAGCATGGAGGTTCATGTGCCACCTCCCTTGCCGCAGCACGTCTGCCATAAACATCTTCTCCATTACCTCCCAAGGCATGCTACTAAAATGCTGGGCAAGACTGTGCCATGCTGATTTAATGTGAGCAGGGAGAGAGACCACAGGGAGCAGCAGAGAATAGCAGTGCTGTACGGTGCGGAGAGGAGAAGCAGGGGTGAAAGGGCTAAGCTGATTGTTTCTAAGGGAACAGTTTAAAAAAAAAAAAAAAAGAAAAGAAAAAAGGCTCATTTGGCAGAGAGAGAAAATGGGGAAGAGGTGCCTGACTCTCCTTGTTTCTCTTCACATGAGAAAATTGCTGTATGGCAGTGTATCAAGTATTCAAAGCTTTAGGCCCCACTACTGATTGCAGATGACTTAACGAGCCATTTCAGTCCTGTATGAGCAGGCTGAAAATGGCACTTGCCAGTGTCATCGTAGGCATTTCATCCTCCAGAAGACTAATTAGAAAAGCTTTCACAGTACCCATAATATATATTGGGTACACAAAATACTTCCAGCCCAAAACACTTAGTGGCAGCTGGGTCTGTTGATTCATGCTTTATCCAGCAAAGGGTCTACCCTATATATCCAGACTGTTCTTAGTGCTGTGGTGCTGGATGAAGACACCCCTCTATGTAACTAAACCAGAACTGAATCTCCTGTGAAGATGTCTGTATTTGGTAACCAGGCACATCATCTAAGCCAAAAGGGTGAAGAAAGATCCTTATCCAAATATTTCCAAAAAGATATAGTCCCACCAAACCCAGGATTAATACTGTATATTTCTTATTTGTAAAACAGTTGTGTCTGAAGGCCATGACTGAAACTAGGGTCTCGTTATGCCAGTTGCTATATATATGCATATGGATTCTTTTACAAGCCAGAAGGAACTGTCTAGTCTAATCTGCCTAGGACAAGCCAGGTAACTTTGTCTCCCGATATCAGTATCAAGCTCAAAATACATAGCTGGGCTGTGCTAGATCTCTTAGAAAAGCATTCAGATCCAATAAAAACATGAAGTGATATAGCAGCCACAAATCCGTAGATCAGCTGCGCCAATGGCTAATTCCCCTTATGCCTTAATTCTGCTCTAAATTGGTCTATGTTTGCAGCCTGTTTTTGCAGCCATTTGGCTTCATTCTGCCATACTAACTTACTTGAATTCCTGTGCAGAGATTCATAGCCTATACTAAAATCACCATGAGAGGAAGTTCTCCAGCACAAATGATGTGTGATAGAGGGTGGTCTATGTTTCCAGGGTACCTGTTCTGAAAAATTTTTGTGAAAGGCTTGGTCTCCGGCTCTGCTCCCTAGCCACCTTTTGGCCGAATCCAAGACCCTGTGATTGACACAGTAATAGCCTGATTTGTGCAGTGCCAAACATATTTATCTTCCTGGCAGGCCTGCAGCTTCTCCCCGGGGGAAGGTCTTGTATCACATGTTACGTGACACAGTTCTGCTCGACAGAGCTGTGATTTGAAGCGGTACCTAGAAACTCCCTCTGTCTCCAGGGAGCAGATGAATGTGACTGCAGAAACACATTCCCCAGCGCAGTGTGGGAGATGCTCCCTGAATCAGCTCATGTCCTTCTCTAATTAAAGAAAGCCTGGACTTCTGTTGTCATCTCCTGCTGATTAATCCCCTTCCCCCAACACCAGTAGCAAGCTTTCCTTCTCTCATTTGGATTGTACAGCCTGAGGAGTGTGGGAGCTTCACAAGGACCTACTTTCTGACCTGAATTCCCTGCCACCATCCATTGTTCAGTGGGGAAACTGAGGCACGCGGTAGCAAGGTAGCAGACCGGCACTCTTGCATGTGTGGTTGAGGTCTTCCTCCATTCATCACAGGGGACAATGCTGTCTCAGATGTCCTTGTGCCAAGGGAATTTGGACTTGGAAACACACACGCAGTACTGCATGAAAAGTGAATCACCACATGTAAATAAATCATCAGCCGATTTACACTGCCTGAGGATCTGATCATACTTTCAAGGTATTTCTGACTCAAGCCCTGTTTGTCCTTAAGCAAACCTCAGATCAGTAGCTTGTTGCCTTCCCAAGAGCCCCTTGTTCCATCCGTCCCTTTCTGCTTGGCTGGAACAGACTCATCATTCATTGTCCATCTAATTTAAGAACTCATCTGACAGGCTTTTTCTTTCCTTGTCCCGGCTGGTGACTTGCATGGTGCATTCATCCCCAAAGGGAAAACTTCTCGGGGGGGGGGCAAGAAACAAAAACTTCCGCACTGAATATGATCCTAGGTGGAGCCAGACCGTGATCCTCTCATTTTCCCCACTGATAGGACAAGAATCATTTCCACTAAGCCAGACTTGCACACTTTTTCTCTCCTATTTGGATTTCCTTAACCCTCCCACAGGTGGTGTTCCTGACATTATTGACCAGAAATGTCACTTTGAACCACTGTGATACGCAGCAATAGTTATGAAAGGACTGGCCTAGTCAAACCTTCTCTGTGTGAGATCTGTGGCTTTGGGGCATGGAAATTAAATGGTCTTTGAGCAGACACAGATGAGGAAAGATAAGAACATCAGTTATACATTCCCTGCACAAAACCAGCTTGGGGAATAGCCATGTGCATCTGGCTGGCTTAATGCAGCAAAAGCAGCACAGTGGTGGAAGGGAGCTGGAAGGCTGTGAGCTCCCTGCCAGAACGGCTGGTTTTACTCTCCTACCTTTTGTCTTACCTGTTTAGCCTGTGGCTTTTCAAGAAAGGGACTGTCTCTTGTTGTGTGTCCACACAGGAACTGCTCTTGGTCACTCACTAGTGAATGTGAGATACACAAAGAGAGTTTCTTTCTTAGCAGGGATTTGCTCTAATCTCAAAGGGCAGCTCCAGGCACCAGGGTTACTATTTTCTCCCCCCTGCTCTGTTTCACCTCGTTGCCCCAGCAAGTCCCCGTGGGATCCCCAGGGGTGAAACATGCAGAGAGCAACGGCTGCTCTCCAGGTGGAGTGACAGTGACAGTGATGGGCACTTTCAGGGACAGGAGGAACTGGAGAAGGAATTTACAGGAATGGGTTGCACTTTACTGATGCTAAATCCCCAATCCTGCAGTCCTGCCCCACACGTAGGTCCACACAATCAAGTAATTTAGGAAAGCATTGCTAGCAAAATGCATCGAAGAAGTGACTTTTAAATGTCTGCCTACCCACCCGACTCCCTCCTTTCTCTAAGTGTAAGAGTAATGCTGTACTGACTTGACTTTTCTTGGGCTATATTTAGATTAAACATAGATCCACCAAATGTCGCTGTTTCATGTAAAACTAGTATAAAGTCATACGAATAGAAAGGCAGTTTTAATCAGAAATCTCTGCTGCTTGTATGCCCACCTCACCCCCCTGCCCCCCCGCTGAACCTTTAGCTAATGTAAAGCAAGTCAGATGAGTACAAATTACTTTTAAAAAGTGCTTCATTCTGGGGTTTTTTTGTAGTGAGTTTTGCCAGCAGCAAATTACATAGTTATAGACCTTTTGAAGTATGTATTTTTCCCACTGTTCAGCACTGACACCATTACTATAATTAGAATGATGTTGCTCTGTAGCAGCATCTAGTGCCAGAGCGAGAGGCCTGGCAGCACCTTCTCCTTTCCTGGCTACGCTCCCCATCCAGAGCTGCCGGTTCTGCTGGCCTGGAGCCACGGAGGAGCGGGACGGTCAGACGTGATGGGCTGTGCCTTGTCACTAGAATCGTAATTCCCACTGCGACCCTGGCAAAGTTGGTTCTTCCCGCTCGGTGGCTCCGGGGCAGGGGGCTGTTAGATGCGGTGGCACTTGGGTGGGTGCCGGGTGTGTTGGTTCCCAGGAGTGCGGTGGCCGGCTCTGCACCCCCGAGCCAGGAGCATTGCACCGGCTGGGTGCACTCGGCCATGGAGAGTGACGCAGCCTTCTCTCAGCGTCTGCTTCTCCTGACATCACTCTGCAATGGCACATGTCATCGGCCTCATAAATATAAACTATGGGTACTGGAGCCGTTCACATGCAGCCTCTCTGTTTCCAGGGCAACCCCGCTCGCTCAGCCTCCGCTGTCTCACCAGCTCACGCTCCAGCACACCGACCGCGCACCGAAATCTCCAGCAGCTTTTTCCCCGGGTCCCTCCGTGCCCCCGTTTCGGGTGTTGGGTTGAGCA